TACACTGAGAGGTGTATGTTTCTCAGTGTATATACACTGAGAGGTGTATGTTTCTCAGTGTATATACACTGAGAGTGTATGTTCATGAGAGGTGTATTTTCTCAGTGTATATACACTGAGAGGTGTATGTTTCTCAGTGTATATACACTGAGAGGTGTATGTTTCTCAGTGTATATACACTGAGAGGTATATGTTTCTCAGTGTATATACATGAGAGGTGTATGTTCTCAGTGTATATACACTGAGAGGTAGTATGTTTCTCATGTATATACACTGAGAGGTGTATGTCTCTCAGTGTATATACACTGAGAGGTGTTGTAATGGCGCAGTTACACCAAATAGTATGGAGTAACACACCACAGTACGGGGGCATTAGCCACCACCACCCACAATGGGGTGCACTGCACACCAAGTATGGGCGTTCTGCACAACACGGTTGGGCGGCACTAGCACTACCTACCACCTACAGTATAGGTGGCAGTAACACCACCCACAAAATGGGCGGCACTAACACCATCCACAATACGGATGGCACTAACACCACCACAGTATGGGTGGCACTAGCACCACCCACAATTCGGGTGGCACTAACACCACCAACAGTACGGGTGGCACTAACACCACCCACAGTGTAGGTGGCACTAACACCACCCACAGAATTGGCGACACTAACACCACCCAGAGAACGGGTGGCACTAACACCATCAACAGTACGGGTGTCACTAACACAACACACAGTACTGGCGGCACTAACACCACCCACAGTACGCCTGGCACTATCACCACCCACATACGAGCGGTACTAACACCACCCACCACCCACAGTACGGGTGGCACTAACACCACCCACAGTGCGGGTGGGACTAACACCACCCACCACCCACAGTACGGGTGGCACTAACACCACCCACAGTGCGGGTGGCACTAACACCACCGACAGTATGGGTGATACTAACACCACCCACAGTTCGGGTGCACTAACACCACCCACAGTACTACCGGCACTAGGACCACCACAGTACGGGTGGCACTGACACCACCCACAGTGTAGGTGACACTAACACCACCCACAGTACTGGCGGCACTATCAACACTCACATTAGGGGTAGCACTAACACCACCCACAGTACAGGTGGCTCTAACACCACCCACCACTCACTCTACGGGTGGCACTAATACCACCCACAGTACGGGTGCCACTAACAACACCCACCACCCACAGAATGGGCTGCACTAACACCACATGCCACCCACAGTACGGATGGTACTAACACCACCCACCACATACAATATGGGCGGCATTAGCACCACCCACAGAACGGCAGCACTAACACTACCCACCATCCACAGTATGGGCGCCACTAGCACCACCCAAAGTATGAGCGGCACTACCCACTACCCATGGTATTAGCGGCACTACCCACTACCCATGGTATTAGCGGCACTAACCCCACCCACCACCAGTAGGGTGGCACTAGCCCCACCCACAGTATGGGCGGTAATAACACCACATACCACCCACGGTACGGATGGCACTAACACCACCCACCACCTACATTACGGGCGGCGCTAACACCACACACCACACAGCACCCACAGTATGGGCGTCACTACCATCACTCACCACCCACAGTATGGGTGGTACTAACACCACCCACCACCAGTATGGGCGTCAGTACCACTACTCACCACCCACAGTATGAGCGGCACTAACACTACCCACAGTATGGGTGGCACTAACACCACCCACAGTATCAGCGGCACTTGGGTGGCACTAACACCACCCACAGTATCAGCGGCACTAACACCACCCACAGTATGGGTTGCACTAACACAACCACAGTATGGGCGGCACTAACACCACCCACAGTATAAGCTGCACTAACACCACCCACAGTATCAGCGGCACTAACACCACCCACAGTATGGGTGGCACAAACACCTCGCACAGTATCAGCGGCACAAGCACCACCCACAGCATGGGTGGCACTAACCCCACCCACAGTATCAGCGGCACTAACACCACCTACAGTATGGGTGGCACTAACACCACCCACAGTATCAGCGGCACTAACACCACCCACATATCACGCACTACACACCACACAGTATGTGCGGCACTAACACCACCCACAGAATCAGCGGCACTAACACCACCCACAGTATCAGCGGCACTAACACCACCCACAGTATGTGCGGCACTAACACCACCCACAGAATCAGCGGCACTAACACCACCCACAGTATCAGCGGCACTAACACCACCCACAGAATCAGCGGCGCTAACACCACCCACAGTATCAGCGGCACTAACACCACCCACAGTATGTGCGGCACTAACACCACCCACAGAATCAGCGGCACTAACACCACCCACAGTATCAGCGGCACTAACACCACCCACAGTATCAGCGGCACTAACACCACCCACAGTATCAGCGGCACTAACACCACCCACAGTATCAGCGGCACAAACACCACCCACAGAATCAGCGGCACTAACACCACCCACAGTATGGGTGGCACAAACACCACGCACAGTATCAGCGGCACTAACACCACCCACAGTATGGGTGGCACTAACACCACCCACAGTATCAGCGGCACTAACACCACCCACAGTATGTGCGGCACTAACACCACCCACAGAATCAGCGGCACTAACACCACCCACAGTATCAGCGGCACTAACACCACCACAGTATCAGCGGCATACACCACCACAGTATCAGCGGCACTAACACCACCCACAGTATCAGCGGCACAAACACCACCCACAGAATCAGCGGCACTAACACCACCCACAGTATGGGTGGCACAAACACCACCCACAGTATCAGCGGCACTAACACCACCCACAGTATGGGTGGCACTAACACCACCCACAGTATCAGCGGCCACTAACACCAACCTACAGTATGGGCTGGCACTAACACCACCCACAGTATCAGCGGCACTAACACCACCCACAGTATGGGTGGCACTAACACCACCCACAGTATCAGCGGCACTAACACCACCCACATCATGGGTGGCACTAACACCACCCACAGTATCAGCGGCACTAACAACACTCACAGTATGGGTGGCACTAACACCACCCACTACCCACAGTATGGGCGTCACTACAACCACTCACAGCCCAAAGTATGGGTGGCACTAACACCACCCATAGAATAGGTGGCACTAACATCACCAACCACCCACAGTGTGGGCGTCACTAACACCACCCACAGTATGGGTGGCACTGACACCACCAACAGTATGAGAGGCACTAACACCACCCACAGTATGAGTGACACTAACACCACCCACCACACACAGTATAGGTGGCACAAACACCACCCACCACCCACAGTATGGGTGGCACTAACACCAACCGCAGTATGGGTGGCACTAACACTTCCCACCACCTACATTATGGGCAGCACTAACACCACCCACAGTACGGGTGACACTAACACCACCCACAGTTCTGGCGGCACTAATACCACTCACAGTACGGGCGGCACTAATACCACCCACAGTATGGCCTGCACTAACACCACCCACAGTATGACCTGCACTAACACCACCCACAGTATGAGTGACGCTAACTCCACCCACAGTATGGGTGACACTAACACCACCCACCACCCACCACCCACAGTATGGGCGGCACTAAAACCACCCACCTTATGGGCGGCATAACATCACCAACAATATGGGCGGCACTAACACCACCCACTGTATGTGTGACAGTAACACCACCAACAGTGTGGGTGGCACTAACACCACCCACCACCCACAGAATGGGTGGTACTAACACCACCCACCACCCACAGTATGGGCGGCACTAACACCACCCACTACCCACAGTATGGGCGGCACTAACACCACCCACAGTATGGCCTTCACTAACACTACCCACAGTATGGCCTGCACTAACACCACATACAGTATGAGTGACGCTAACTCTACCCACAATATGGGTGGCACTAACACCACCCACCACCCAGAGTATGGGCGGCACTAACACCACCCACCTTATGGGCGGCACTAACACCACCCACAATATGGGCGGCACTAACACCACCCACTGTATGTGTGACACTAACACCACCAACAGTATGGGTGGCACTAACACCCACCACCACCCACAGTATGGGTGGCACTAACACCACCCACCATCCACAGTATGGGTGGCACTAACACCCACCACCACCCACAGTATGGTTGGCACTTGGCACTAACACCATCACCCACAATTTGGGCAGCACTAACACCACCCACAATAAAAATTATTTTCTTCCAGTCCAGCTGGATCCCATACCACTCACGATCCTTTAAAACCAGCGTCAACAATATCTATTACGTTGCCAAGCTCTCTTGTATGTACAGGCAGCTCTCCTAAGAAGCTCCTCTCACTAGAGCGTTGTTTTGTAAATGCGATTGACTAGTGTGAGGAATTAAATCCTTAATAAGGGAAGAAAAGCACAGTATGTGCAGGAGGTTTTGGAGAGAGATCTTTAAGAGGGATTTTTACGAGAGATGTTTGTAAAAGTTTTGGAATAAGAAATCTTTAAGAGATTTTTATGAGAGATTTTTTAGAAGAGTTTTAAAGGAGATTTTTGAGAGAGATCTTTAGAGAGAGATCTTTGTAATAGAGTTTTATAAGAGATCTTTATAAAAAGAGCCCCGGACGTTTCGTCCAGGAGGGTGAGGGAAACGTGTTCCTTAATACTCGTAACCTATATATTGTCTGTCTAATTTACAACACCGTTGTTGTAATCTACCATTGTACTGCATATCCACTTTATCTACAGTAATCTATCTACTGCATCTACAATAATCTATTTAGCTGTAGCTGCCACTGAGGCAACACATGTTAGGCAACACTTGGGAATCTGTGTTTATCGTTTCTTTGGTAAATATTCCCAGATGTAGCATAAGCGTTTAATTCTTCATCTATTTACATCGATTTACATCAATTTACATCGGATTTCAGCGATCCAACTTACCCTTTTCAGGCGAGACTTCTGATTAGTCAAACTAGAACACAAATTCTTCCCAGGAAGAAAACACTTCCTCTTCCTCCTCGTTCTTGTGTTGCTTCCTCTTGCTCAAACAGAGGTCACTTGGTTAGGAATCTTGAAAACATCCATCACTATCTAATTTGCGTATATTACTATGTACAAGCTTACAGGTATTTCTTAATTCGGGGTTCATTAAAACAAATGCGTTTTGGGAACATCATTTAAAGTTGACCAATTGTTTTTCATTGATATTATTGGGATTTATTGTATTTTTTTCACCGTTTCTGTAAATGACGTTAATGTCCCGTGAGAAAAATTTGGAGTCTGTGGGTTCTTGGGGTTAAAGAAAGTAAGGATTTGAAAACACGCGGTGCCGTGGGCCCCCAGATCAGCTGATAGGTGGGTCCCCTGAGGCTCCCGGCCAGGGAGGAGTGCCAGTGGACTTGAGCCAGAGAGTGCCAGATGGGTCAGCGGCAGAAGGCACCCGTCCTCAGCGGCAGGCGGGCCAACACTGGTGCCACCAGCGCCCTGCCTTCTACACCAACACGCACTGACTCTCTCTCTCTCTCTCTCTCTCTCTCTTACTCCGGCTCAGACAGCAAGTCCTTAGCTGCCCTCCACCCAGCTGCTAGGACCGTTCCCCTCACTCCACCCAGCTGCTAGGACCGTTCCCCTCACTCCACCCAGCTGCTAGGACCGTTCCCCTCACTTCACCCATTTGCTAGGACTATACTCCCTCACTCCACCCAGCTGCTATGACCGTTCCCCCTCACTCCACCCAGCTGCTAGGACCGTCCCCTCACTCCACCCATTTGCTAGGACTGTACTCCCTCACTCCACCCAGTTGCTAGGACTGTACTCCCTCATTCCACCCAGCTGCTAGGACCGTTCCCCCTCACCCCACCCAGCTGCTAGGACCGTCCCCCTCACTCCACCCAGCTGCTAGGACTGTACTCCCTCACTCCACCCAGCTGCTAGGACCTGTCTCCCTCACTCCACCCATTTGCTAGGACTGTACTCCCTCATCCACCCAGTGCTAGACGTTCCCCCTCACCGCCACCAGCTGCAGGACCGTCCCTCACTCCACCCAGCTGCTAGGACTGTACCCCCTCACTCCACCCAGCTGCTAGGACTGTACTCCCTCACTCCACCAAGCTGCTAGGACCGTTCCCCCCTCACTCCACCCATTTACTAGGACTGTACTCCCTCCCTCCACCCAGCTGCTAGGACCGCTCCCCCTCACTCCACCCAGCTGCTAGGACTGTACTCCCTCACTCCACCAAGCTGCTAGGACCTTTCCCCCCTCACTCCACCCATTTACTAGTACTCCCTCACTCCACCCAGCTGCTAGGACCGTTCCCCCTCACTCCACCCAGCTGCTAGGACCGTTCCCCCTCACTCCACCCAGCTGCTAGGACCGTTCCCCTCACTGCACCTAGCAGCTAGGACTGTACTCCCTTTCAGGAAATACATACCTGATTGCTAGCTTCAAAATGAGGAGCGCCGAAAATGAACTGAGATCGGAAAGCAGCTCTTACACTCAAAACTCAACGGTTTATTCACTAATACATTGTTCTTTCAAACTGCTTACACTGTTTTAGTCATTCCGATTGTCTGCTGTTTATTATTTTCCTTGTGGAATAAATACACCGCCTATTACAGAAGTGAAATCTAAACTTAAGAACATAAGGAGCACTGCAGTTAGGCCTATTGGCCCATGCTAGGCAGGGCCAAGTCCCAACCAAATTTGGGTTAACGTAAACAGTTGTTATTTACACGTGACACTTTAAACTACTCCGCCTCACGTTCCACAACAAGTGTTGTGGGTCAGCGGATCATTGGATAAGATGTTTGTGCGTATTCACAAAGACAGAACAGGTAAGACAGTGTTGGTGAGCAAGTTTCCGTCTTGTGAGGAAACGTCTGAGACCCAAGTTCACGCACGCTGTGTACACATTTTTGCCCCTTAGGCTAGTGAGAATAAATGGAAGTTAGAAATATTGTGGTGCTACCGTTGGCAGAATTACCGACAATATGTTAGGTAAAAGGACACAAGTGCAACTAATGGGACATTGTGGGAACGTCTCGCTCTCCAGGAGCTTTGTCACGCTTTGTAAAGCTTGTCAAAGCTCCTGGAGAGCGAAACGTTGCCACAATAAAATGTCACATTAGTTGCACTTGTGCTCATTTAGCTAACAAAGTGATAAAAGTCTATACATGAAGTGGTGTCACTAGGCCATTACAAATGTTGAAATTTACAAAAAAAAAGGAGGTAAGTATTAGGTATATCATGATCAAAGTGCAATTAGGTATCACATGACTATTCCAAGTCTTCATCTTCTCGATTATTATTCCCCCCCTCTTTTAGGGGGGTAAAGGAGTTTTATGGGAACCCATATCCCACTCATTGTTGCCTGGTTATGACCTCGTTATGTCGCTACAGACTTCCGAGCTTCGGGAAACTCTCATTGCTGCTCCTCAACTGCTTCTCATTCTTGGTCAGCGTCATTTTAATAATATTATGATGTTGGGTAGTTTTATGCTCAGGTGTTGCACATGTGTCTAATTCTCCATTTTGTCAGGGTCGGGTTGTACTCGTAAATGAAGACAGCACCTTGCGCAGTAAAGTCATTGGCTATGCGAAATCCTTGCAGGTATTCAGATGCGGTCTTGTAATCTGTACGATTGTGGCACTCAGCCAGATTGACACTGGGTAACTCTATGGAAAGGCTGAGTATTTGGAAGACGTTGTTGGAGGTCCCAGTGACAAAATCAACACGTTTTCTCATTCCAGGAGACCGTTCTCGCAGCAATTTTGATTCTTTTGTGAAGCGGAGTCCTCAGAAGTTTCTTTGTCCAAGACCATCATCCTCTAGCTATCTACCGAAGTCTCTGGGTCGAAGAAGGCAAAACAGATCAACTTCTCAGGAAACAGAATGCAGAGACTCCCACATTAAAGATGACCTTATCCACATAAGCCAGTAGTCCCTTCCCAAAATGGAGGTCGTGACAGGGGACCGAACATACCCGTGGAGCGAGGAACCTCACGCGAACATTCCTCTGCCACATTGTCAGATGGAACTGTTCCCGGAGGAGATGGAGCTTGATGGAATATATAACCTTGGCCATCCAGCAAGTGCATTGACGGGCGCTGGGACGGAAGAAATGGAAATCACGTGACGTAAGGTCTCCCAGGCAGGTGATCGTGAGCTCAAGGAACTCATGAAGGTCGTCACGCTGCTGAATATCTGTGAGTTGATCTTCTCAGAAGATAATAATTTCATTTCAGTGAGATCTAAGGGTCTTGTGTCTCCCTCGTTTAAGTCGGTGATGTTAAACTGGCGTGTTACTATTATGTTCCACTTCTCCCTTGTAACAATTGAAAGGGAGAAAATAAAGTTTAGTCACTAGGCCGAGACACTCCAATAATCCTATTTGTTATTTCTGAGACGTTATAGCAAATCACGAACATTGGATAAATTGAAGCAAACCCACGAAATGTTGCACAAAACTGAAGACATCCACACGAATAAAACAATAAAAGTTGTCCTGATTTAAAAAAAATGATTTTAACACTTCGAAAGAAAAATGGATTCGTGAAATTACTTCAGAATTTACCACGAATACAGTTAATATTACATCGACCTGACCACACGCTCTAATCAACAGAAATAATCAACATAATACTGGAATATTTCTAAAGAGTATGGATCGTCAACACTGTGACCTGAGATCCGGTGTTGCTGATCTATTCAGAAGAGCATCTGGAGTAAGTTTCAACACCGCATCTCAGAGCCTATGGATCAATAGTTCATTATTGATCTTCCCGTAACTAAACCATATAAATTCGCAGTCAGGGATTACTCTCACTTGAACAATCATCCTAATACACCTGAAGATTTCACAGTTTGACAGCAACATCGAAGAGATTGGACACCGTTATCACTGAATCCCTGGACATTATCAGAATGAGGCGTCGACTCAACAATTCTAATACATCAGTTCAGTTGTTTACACGATGATGTAATATGTGATTGAGCATATAACCTTATGTAGTATAAATGTTAGGTTAGTGTGATGTAAACATCACACGCGAGTCCCTGGTTCGAGCCCCAGCCATCCTCTATGACAGATTGCTATATTCACGGAAGTGTGAAATTTCGGTGAGTAATTACAGAGCGGAACTGTGTGTTCAAGAGCAATGAAATTAGCAGCGTGGTGAAGATGAAAGCTAAAGTGTTATTAGACTGGCTGTGGAGGGTGGTAGCTACCTTAACCATGAAGGTAGGTGCTCCTGGCTCCTAGTCCCGTGTCCTGGGAGGAATTACGTAATTACGTTGCAACTAAATGGAGTGTACACACTTTGCAGAATACTGGGACTACGTTCCAATCAGTTAAGATCTTCATCAAGTCATATATATATATATATATATATATAATATATATATATATATTATATATATATATATATATATATATATATATATATATATATTATATATATATATATGTCGTGCCGAATAGGTAAAATTGGTCAATTAGCAAGAACTCATTTAAAATTAAGTCTTTTCTAAAATTTTCTCTTACACATTTAAAGATACATTTTTTCATTTATGTTATTGTAAAAATTAATAAATTTGTACCAAAAGAACCTTAGAAAACTTACCTAACCTTATTCTAACAAGCGCAATTAAATTTAGCCGAATCCATCTAAATATATTTTTGATAAGTTTACAATAATTTAACAATAAACAAACTCAATGAAACATATTTTTTTCGTTAGGTTCAGAATGATGTTTGCGAAATTATTGCATACACAAATTGTCGCTTGCCTTATTCGGCAAGAAAAGCGTTGGTATTTAAGCCCAAATCCCAAGTTTTACCTATTCGGCACGATATATATATATATATATATATTATATATATATATATATATATATATATATATATATATATATATATATATATATATATATATATATATATATATATATATATATATATATATATATATATATATATATATATATATATATATATATATATATATATATATATATATATATATATATATATATATATATATATATATATATATATATATATATATATATATATATGTGTGTGTGTGTGTGTGTGTGTATTATATAGATAGATAACGGGCTCTGAAACTAGACTTGCTCCCCCCAACAACTGCAAACAGTCACACTGGGATGACCCAGTAATGGAGAATATAGGCTCAACAATGCTTCAGAGTGGGTGTGGGAAGGATAGAGCCCTTGTCCTGGCTGTGAGAGCTCCTCATGCGCATGATTTTCTGTTGGCTGTTCCAAACTCCAGCCTTGGCACACGCCTCGATCCACAGACCATTCCTATTGGTGTTGCCCTTTGACTTACCGCCCCTATTCTCGCCGAACACAGGTGTATTTGCGGCAGTGAAGCAGCAGACTGATTCGGGTACCACGGTCTTGTGTGTCAATAATCCGAGGGAAAGATTACAACGCATGAAGAGGTTAATAACATCAAGGGAGCCTCACAACAACCGGATGTGCAGCAATAAGGGAGCCACCCCAGCTATGCAGATCTGACGGCAGTCAAAAGCGTCCAGATGGTATCACTCTTCAAGCCTGGACAGACGGCAAGCAGGTTGTGTGGGACTGCACATGTGCATCCACCTTGGCTGATACCTATCTCCAATACACAAGGGAGGAAGTAGGAG